TGCTTTATTACGAGAAGGATGGTGGAGAGATTTCCTAAGATGGCCAGAATGTATATTATTAAGAAGAGGATAAACATGAAGAGCTGAAAACGTGGTGAGCCTGGGAAGCCAAGAAGAATGAATTCTGTCACTCTTGAGCTATTTGGGTGTCCGTGGTTGAGTTCTTCCATCTGTCCTCTTTGGCCTGAAACAGAGAAAATGCCCAAGTAATGTACAAAGGATTTCACCAAAGCATGCAAGTCTAATACCTATTTATGCTGTACAGGAACAGCACCAAACAAGAATTATTTTATAAGAATTCAATTTATTCCTGCTCAAATTTCCAATCTTTCAATATGTCATAATCTATATTAGTGACTTTTTTAAGAAACTTCTTTGGTTTTTATAGTTAGGATGATAGATGGTGAAAAGCTCTGTGTTCCCCTTCCAGTGTATTTATTTATCTGGAATGTTATTGACTATACACAATTAAAGATGCTAAGTCTTACCCACAGCACACCAGGTTCAGCCAGTACAAATCTTTTTCTAGGAAACTATGATTGTCTTCAATCCATAAAGCATTTGGAACTCAAGAAGGAGTCTCAAAAATAGCCCTAAGAAGTTTAGATTGTATTTTTTCAGGTTATGGAAATGTCTTTAGGGTCACACAGGTCTATTTCCCCTGAAATACCCAAATGGGTATATTGGCCATCACTGTTTAGAATGGCAAATGATAACCTCTGGGCATTTTCTGTGTGCTGGGGAAGAACGAATTCTGTTACCTTAAGTTTGTTCTGTTATCTTTGGTTGTGTTTTTGCATTTTTTAATTTTTTCTTTCTTAAATTCTGAAATAATTAACATAGAGGAAATTTCTCTAGGAACACTACAGGCATTATTAATATAAGGGTAAAGAAGGCAATAATTCTATATTATGGGGAACTAGTTCTTATTGTCCAATAATTATCTGGCTAAAAAATGCCTTTATGAAGGTTTTAATAGCAACAGATGGGCGATTTTGTGTCAAAAACTATTCTTTCAATTCTTTTTAGACCAGTAACTGTTTAATGACATAAATTATCATACATTATTGAGCGATTATTTATTTTTTTTAAGATTTTAGAAAAGACAGAGATCAGGTATGCAAGCTTAAGTTGGCCAAGTGGTATCATCTTTTTAAAAATGGACAAGGAATGTCACATCACTTACAGTCTTCCATACCTCCTTGAGACAAGCTTTTACAGAACTTTGCTTTCAACCAATGCCAACAGCCTATTTAGATGGAGGATATAAAAGGTTACCAACTACATACCATTTATGTATTTGTAATATGTCACAGGTGGAAGATTTGACTCATTATTTATTACAGTATAGATTATACCAAGAACCAAGAGCTAGATTTATCACACCTTTGTTAAATCAATTGAATCAGACCAATTTTGAAAAAATTTATGTTTTGTTGTGTGATGAAAATGAATATGTAACAAATCAAGTTGAATTATTTCCAATGGCTGCAAGAAAGATATGGAAGGAAATGTTGATAAGTAGTGCTGCAATACTAGAAGGGACGGACTGAATTGATATGGATTGCTGTAATTTTTAAAGAATTTTTCTAAAACCTACTGCTGCAAATATATGTATGTATATATGTAAGTTTTTTTTTTTTAATATCTATCCATGAGGAATTCCACCTCCTCCTGAAAACGAACTGGCAGCATCACATTATATGAATCGCTAAAAACAAAGTGCCAATAATATAAAATAACATAACCAGATTGCAAATAGGGTTCAGACAAAATGTTCATAAGCCTCAGTTTCATCATTTACTTTCCTTGAAGCAAGAAAGGCTGCCCAAACTAATACAGGAATGGTTTTCATTTGGTGCCCTTTTTCTGACCTTTGCAGATTTAAAAGAAGTGTTTGATTAAAGTCTCAAAGAGAATATCAGGGGAAAAAAATAGAATATTTCACCATCTTGAAACGACTGCTGTGCCTCTTCAGGATGCTTCATAGTAGCATCACAATGCAAGTACATTACTAGGGCCATGTGCAACTATCTACCCAAAGCTGCACCTAAAAGGAGATAAAGCAAGGATGTATTTGAACACGGGTTCTAGCATAATATTTGTGCATGGAATGCTGAATCTACTAAGTAAGCCGAAATTTTCCACCCCAAAAATCCTACCAGATCATTAGAGGTATTTTTGCATGCTGCAGTTTTATCTACAAGTAAGACACGCATGGAGGGGAGACCTAACATTCTTGCATTATATTACAAGGGGGCCAACCTGAATGTAAATCACAGTAAAGGGAGAAGTTTTTTTTTTTTTTTAAAGTCCTATTTGCATAACTGAGTGATAGATGGGAACCTCCTCCTGAAAACGAACTGGCAGCATCACATTATATGAATCGCTAAAAACCTCCTCCTGAAAACGAACTGGCAGCATCACATTATATGAATCGCTAAAAACCTCCTCCTGAAAACGAACTGGCAGCATCACATTATATGAATCGCTAAAAAAAGAGAGAAGGGTTATCACACACAATGCTCCAGGAAGCTCTCGAGTTATTTTAAGCTTTGGTAAAACTAAAAATAGCAGTTGCTTACTATCTGACATTAAGACTTTTAAGAGTAAAACATACCCAGATGTTTGGTGAAGTTCTGCATATGGTGGAACAATAAGGGAGTCAAAATTGTTCAGTCAAAACTTCTTAGAGCAGTTTTGTATTTCTTGCTGTGCAGCAAATATGTTGCTTTGGTTGGAATCTGAAATGTTCACTTTTGAGGGAAATGTTAGGGTTTGTTGTTTAAAAGGCTGGGTTAAATTAATTCTTAACACTCAGTCCCTACCCACCCTGGTACTTCAGGATGTATTTGTCACCTGGAGAAAAGAAAAGAAGTTGAGCAAGATATGTAGAATTATGGATTTTCATCACAAACATTGATCAACTAAGATCTAGAAACAGCAAAGACCTGTTCATATGAAAAGTTAAATATGAAAAGTTAAGGAGCATGTAGCTCCCTCCCCCCTTTAGAAAGCCGAATTAATAAGAGACTATTTACCCTCCCAAGCTCCCAAGCTCTCTGATGACAGTTGTTTATGGCAGAAGTTGAAGATCCCTCAGCCCAACCAGATTAAGCACAGATTAAGCACT